CACACACACACACACACACACAAATCTATATGATCCAAGGTGACCGCACACATCCTCGTCATACACAGATGAGGTAGTCAAGGGAGGAGCAGCGTTTGCTTGCCTACATTCACATGAAAACTGAAGCAATTCCGGTTTCGTCTTGGCTTGTTTGTTTGTTTGTTTGTTTTTCTCGCACACACGCGCATGCGCGCAAAAACACTGCTTCCCAGATGTTGCAAACAAGCGTGTGCGATTTTTTTCGGCTTGATAACAGGACTGGGGGTAAATTTCCCGAGTCAAGCAAGGGCACGATGAGGTGAATATGAAGTAGGAGAAATTCCAGAGTGTGGATGAATGGATTAGTGACAGTTACTGCGACTCGCATACCTTAGGAGCAATATGAAAGCAAAATTTTGCGTTTCGTTCTATCTGATTGTGTCACGTCACAATTTTCGCCGCGCACGTTTAGCTTGGACGTGTAGAGTGAGATTATTATCCCTGTATGCTCGCTTTATTTTAGAAGACCAATTTACGCAGAACACAGCAGTTCTCTGTGCTCATCCATTGGTTTATTACAAATGTCCGTGAATTCCGACTCTCACTTTCTTTCGCTGATTAATCGAAAACACTGTGTTCAGGGGTTGCGAGAGATTAGCGTCAAGGTGCATTTTTCAGCTTCTTTTACTGGTGGTACCATTTTTATGAGCGTTACTCTGCGTATTGAGTTGACGATTCAACACCCCGAGATGATGCTAACCAGTGTTCTGAAAATCCGTAGGAATAGGGAGGTTATGACCAATGCGATCGATGCAGATGGGATCAAGAAAAAACTACAAAATATAGTTCCGATTCCTCGAAGATGGCCGAGGAAAACCAATGATACCGCCTTTTACCATATAATCTGTTATATTACATTACCACATTGCATTTTCGATCTCCTACCACTGAATTACGATTAACAGATATAATTACAAACTCCAATGGCGAGCCCAATAGCTAGGCATTGATTCTTTCAATCTTCATTGCACCGTTGCAGCGTAAACAGAAGCGCTTTTCTCTCTCCTTCGCTATTTATGTCACTGTCACTACCGTAGATATTTCGCTTTCCTTTCTCAGGGGGCTCGTGTTTTCAGCGCGTCGATGGGGCCGCCCAATTTGTCACAGCTGCAATGCATCATCGTCAGTACACATTTCTACGCCCGGTTCTTTCCGTGCAATCCACCCCGGGCACAAAACCGACTCCTATCGGTCCGGGCGAGAGAAGACGATGGCAACCATTCGATTGGTTATGGTCCGTGAACTGGCCTATCTATGCAATATTTTCTATTACCGGTATGCTCATCCTCATGCTCATTGTTGGTGTGATGTTCACGGCTACTCAGCTCAGTCAACGTTCCACATGTCAGTCGACTGTGCACCGAAGATCTCTGTCCGCCTATTTGCACGCGATCGGGAAGAAACGAAACGCTAAAAAGGTGAGCATAACACGCTTCTGATTGATAACTGGTCAGGGAATATGATGTGTTCCACACTTCCCTTTTCGCAGATCTTCGAGTAATTGATGATAGAAGTGGTGGTAACGGTGGTCTAATGATGTCACTGGCACACATCGCTTCATTAATGATGCAACTCCTGTCACCATTGACCCATGTTTTATGGTAGACGGCTTTGCTGTGATTCACTCAAAATCTCCGGATAGCAGTTTGCCAGTCGCACTGATAAATGGTAGATAAATCGGGAACTAAACTCGATAACCTGTGCTAGGGTAGTCGTTTTGCATTATTAGCAGGGGTCTACCGCTTGTGTGCAGGCTAGTCTGTGATTAAGCTTGCTCTATTCCTGACTGACCTGGACTGGGAAACTCTCCGCACATCCAGAAAAATTACCTATGCTGGACAATCAGCTGACAATCAATGAAGGAAAGTTTGTTCAACATTTGAGCTGACGCAAGCAGCCTTTGTGTTCCTGCACACATCGGTTCCAATTATTGCTCAAAGGTACATGGATGGATGGGCACTAGAAAACAGCATCACAATGGAGGTTGATATGTGCGGTTTAAAGTATAGCCAAGCTATTTACTGTTTTCATACACGAATAAACCACGTAGGATATTCCACATTAGTCAGTAAGATGGAGCTCCCAACGGCCTGCTCTTCTTGCGGGGGTTTTGCTATTCATGGTCGAAGCTGCTGTCAGTAGCCTGCTCTGAAACCCAAATTTCGAGATTTGAGTCCTGCCACCACCACTCAACAACCATGGAAAACGGATTCTCTGTCAGCCGGTTCAGTATCGCGCTTGTCCAACTGAGGCCTTATGTGGTTCATTACAGCAAGTTGCAGGGCTTAAATCACCGATTCTCATAAACGAACAGCCTAATCTAAGTGGATTTTGCTGTTCACCACACTGAGGCTTGTAAGAAAAAGAATCTTTGGCATATCGTTTTCACTGCTCGTCACAAAGGTTTTCCCCTGGTGAGGACCAATCACAGGCGACACTGAATGTGAGCCATGATACTGCTCGAATTGACATCAATTGGGATAAATAGCTAACGCGTTGTTAACAGGTCTAACGTGCACCGTTTTTCTTCTCGTCATCAAACTGTCCCCATTCAGACGCGTTATCATTTCGCGTCAGAAACAGGTATGTTTGTTCCGGTACTGAACTGTAACAAATACGAATGACTCATTCGCTTCCATCAGTGATTTGCGAATTTGTCTCGGCCACGGTTGTCATAATTTATGGTGCTGTATCAGAGGTAAAAACCATACCATATCTGGAACTGAAATTGCACCAATAGCTACTCCTCGCCGTATTCCCTGTGCCGAGACCGTCAGACGGGTGGTAATGATGCACCACTCTCATAAGGATGATATCAGTCGCTTTATACACGCTGGACAGTGGAGGAGAGAAGTCAAACAAGCTGTACGAAAAATCAATCAGTTCAACTCTCACAGAAAGCCGCACGTACGCACGCACGCATGCACACACGTGCGCACGCGCGTGCACTCGGATGGCGTCTTACAAGGAGGCTATTAGGATGCGAATTCGCTCATAAACGTACGTACGGAAGCGATTTTTTGAATGGGAAAAAGAAAACATTTCACACCAAACGACCACGATCCTATTTGTTTAGTTTTGTAGAATAATC